ATAGATACCCTTCGTCATTAACACACTTCATCATGGACATCAGAGAGAAATAGATACCCTTCGTCATTAACACACTTCATCATGGACATCAGAGAAATAGATACCCTTCGTCATTAACACACTTCATCGTGGACATCAGAGAAATAGATACCCTTCGTCATTAACACACTTCATCGTGGACATCAGAGAAATAGATACCCTTCGTCATTAACACACTTCATCATGGACATCAGAGAAATAGATACCCTTCGTCATTAACACACTTCATCATGGACATCAGAGAAATAGATACCCTTCGTCATTAACACACTTCATCGTGGACATCAGAGAAATAGATACCCTTCGTCATTAACCTATAGACACACAGGCACTGTAAGTTGAACTGTCCACACACAGCCACAATGTCACTGTCACAGACACACACTAAAAGCGTCACTACACACTAAGTAAGCTGTCACACACACACAGTAGCGTCACTGTCTCACACTAAGTAAGCGTCACTATCACCCACACCCAGTAAGCGTCACTGTCTCACACACACAGTAAAGTGTCACTGTCTCTCACACACACACACAGTAAGCGTCACTATCACCCACACTAAGTAAGCGTCACTGTCTCACACACACACACAGTAAGCGTCACTGTCTCACACACACACAGTAAGCGTCACTATCACACACACCCAGTAAACGTCACTGTCACACACACACACTAAGCGTCACTATCACCCACACCCAGTAAACGTCACTGTCACACACACACACACTAAGCGTCACTATCACCCACACCAAGTAAGCGTCACTGTCTCACACACACACTAAGCGTCACTATCACCCACACCCAGTAAGCGTCACTGTCTCACACACACACACACAGTAAGCGTCACTATCACACACACACTAAGCGTCACTATCACCAACACCCAGTAAGCGTCACTGTCACACACACACCCAGTAAGCGTCACTGTAACACACACCCAGTAAGCGTCACTATCACCCACACCCAGTAAACGTCACTGTCTCACACACACACTAAGAGTCACTATCACCAAAACCAAGTAAGCGTCACTGTCACACACACACCCAGTAAGCGTCACTGTCTCGCACACACACAGTAAGCGTCACTGTTACTCACCCAGTACACGTCACTGTCACACACACCCAGTAAGCGTCACTATCACCCACCCCCAGTAAGCGTCACTGTCTCACACACACACAGTAAGCGTCACTTTCACTCGCCCAGTAAGCGTCACTGTCACACACACCCAGTAAGCGTTACTGTCTCACACCCACCCAGTAAACGTCACTGTCACACACACACAGTAAGCGTCACTGTCACACACCCAGTAAGCGTCACTGTTACACACACCAGTAAGCGTCACTATCAAACACACAATGTAAGCGTCACTATCAAACACACACACAATGTAAGCGTCACTGTCACACACACAGTAAGTGCCAATACGTGCCAACCTGTAAATGGGTCATGGTGCTACCTCCAGAGGGTCATGGCGTTACCTGTAGTGGGACACGGTGCTACTGTAGAGGGTGATGGTCGTACCTGTAGTGGGTCACGGTGGTGCCTGTAGTGGGTCATGGTGCTAGATGTAGTGGGTAATGGTGCTATCTGTAGAGGGACATGGTGGTACCTGTAGGGGGTCATGGTGTTACCTGTAGTGGGACACGGTGCTACCTGTAGTGGGTCATGGTGTTACCTGTAGTGGGACACGGTGCTACCTGTAGTGGGTCACTGTGCTACCTGTACTGGGACACGGTGCTACCCGTAGAGGGTCATGGCGCTACCTTTAGTGGGACATGGTGCTACCTATAGTGGATAAATATGCTACCTGTAGAGGGTCATGGTGGTACCTATAGTTGGGACACGGTGCTACCTGTAGTGGGTCATGGTGCTACCTGTAGAGGGTCATGGTGCTACCTGTAGAGGGTCATGGTGCTACCTGCAGAGTGACATGGTGCTACCTGTAGAGGGTCATGGTGCTACCTGTAGAGGGTCATGGTGCTACCTGCAGTGGGACACGGTGCTACCTGTAGAGAGTCATGGCGCTACCTGTAGTCGGACACGGTGCTACCTATAGTGGATCAATATGCTACCTGTAGAGGGTCATGGTCCTACCTCCAGAGGGTCATAGTGGTACCTGTAGTGGGACACGGTGCTACCAGTAGAGGGTCATGGTGCTACCTACAGAGGGTCATGGTGCTACCTGTAGTTGGACACGGTGCTACCTGTAGAGGGTCATGGTGCTACTTGTAGTGGGACACGGTGCTACCTGTAGTGAGACACGGTGCTACCTGTATTGGGACATGGTGCTACCTGTAGAGGGTCATGGTGCTACCTGTAGTAGGACACGGTGCGACCTATACTGGATCAATATGCTACCTGTAGTGGGTCATGGTGCTACCTGTAGAGGGTCATGGTGCTACCTGTAATGGGACACGGTGCTACCTGTAGTGGGTCATGGTGCTACCTGTAGAGGGTCATGGTGTTACCTGTAATGGGACACGGTGCTACCTGTAGTGGGTCATGGTGCTACCTGTACAGGGTCATTGTGCTACCTGTAGTGGGACATGGTGCTGCCTGTAGAGGGACACGGTGCTATCTGTAGAGGGTCATGGTGCTACCTACAGAGGGTCATGGTGCTACCTGCATGAGGACACGGAGCTACCTGTTGTGGGTCATGGTGCTACCTGTAAAGGGTCATGGTGTTACCTGTAGTGGGTCATGGTGCTACCTGTACAGGGGCATGGTGCTACCTTTAGTGGGACATGGTGCTACCTGTAGTGGGTCATGGTGCTACCTTAATGGGTCATGGTGCTACCTGTAGTAGGTCATGGTGCTACCTGTAGAGGGTCGTTGTGCTACCTGTAGTGGGCCATGGTGCTACCTGTAGAGGGTCGTTGTGCTACCTGTAGTGGGTCATGGTGCTACCTGTAGAGGGTCGTTGTGCTACCTGTAGAGGGACATGGTGCTACCTGTATAGGGACACGTTGCTACCTGTTGTGGGTCATGGTGCTACATGTGGTGGGCCATGGTGCTACCTGTAGAGGGTCATGGTGCTACCTGTAGTGGGTCATGGTGTTACCTGTAGTGGGTCATGGTCCTACCTGTACAGGGGCATGGTGCTACCTTTAGTGGGACATGGTGCTACCTGTAGTGGGTCATGGTGCTACCTTAATGGGTCATGGTGCTACCTGTAGTAGGTCATGGTGCTACCTGTAGAGGGTCGTTGTGCTACCTGTAGTGGGCCATGGTGCTACCTGTAGAGGGTCGTTGTGCTACCTGTAGTGGGTCATGGTGCTACCTGTAGAGGGTCGTTGTGCTACCTGTAGAGGGACATGGTGCTACCTGTATAGGGACACGTTGCTACCTGTTGTGGGTCATGGTGCTACATGTGGTGGGCCATGGTGCTACCTGTAGAGGGTCATGGTGCTACCTGTAGAGGGTCATGGTGCTACCTGTAGAGGGTCATGGTGCTACCTGTAGTGGGTCATGGTGCTACATGTAGTGTTCATGGTGCTACCTGTAGTGGGTAATGGTGCTACCTGTTGTGGGCCATGGTGCTACCTGTAGTGGGTCATGGTGCTACCTGTAGTGGGTTATGGTGCTACCTGTAGTGGGTTATGGCATTACCTATAGTGAGTCATGGTGCTACCTGTTGTGGGTCACGGTGCTACCTGTTGTGGGTCATGGTGCTACATGTAGTGTTCATGGTGCTACCTGTAGTGGGTAATGGTGCCACCTGTGTTGAATTATAACGTTACCTATTGTGAGTCATGGTGCTACCCATAGTGTTGCATGACATTACCTATATTGGGACACGGTGGCAGCACACACTGAGCGTCCTTTCTGTTAACTGCGTCTCCTGGGCAGGAGGCCCCCCCGTTGGAAGGAGCAGGGTTGTTACATGCACGTGTTCTGTTGTCAATTCCATCAGCCACTCCACATGATGCCAAGCAGAACCGCCGCCACGATCCCCAATTCGACCAGCTGCCGTCAGCTGTAGGTACAATGTAGAACATGAAACTGGCCAACCAAATACCACACTTATACCAGACAAAGTGTGCAACCAAAAACCCAATACTCCACCAATGCCTGACAAAACATGCAACCAACAAGCCTGATGCCCAACCAATACCATACAAAACATGCAAACAATGTTCCCGATATTACATCTATATCATACAAACGTGCAACCAATGTTCCCGATATTTCACCTATATCATACAAAACCCGCAACCAATGTTCCCGATATTTCACCTATATCATACAAAACGTGCAACCAATGTTCCAAATATTTCACCTATATCATACAAAACCCGCAACCAATGTTCCCGATATTTCACCTATATCATACAAAACGTGCAACCAATGTTCCCGATATTACACCTATATCATACAAAACGCGCAACCAATGTTCCCGAAATTACACCTATATCATACAAAACCCGCAACCAATGTTCCCGATATTACACCTATATCATACAAAACGTGCAACCAATGCTCCCGATATTATACCTATATCGTACAAAACGTGCAACCAATGTTCCCGATATTATACCTATATCGTACAAAACGTGCAACCGATGTACCCGATATTACCCCTATGTCATACAAAACGTGCAACCAATGTACCGGATATTACCCCTATGTCATACAAAACGTGCAACCAATGTTCCCGATATTTCGCCTTTATCATACAAAACGTGCAACGAAAAAACCCGATACCCACCTGTGTCAACCACTGTCATCATTACACACATCCCACCAAACACCGTTACCATTGCATACATTTTACCAAACACTGTCATCGTTAAATGCATCTTACCAAACACTCACACCATGACATACATCTTACCAAACACTCACACCATGACATACATCTTACCAAACACTCACACCATGACATACATCTTACCAAACACTCACACCATGACATACATCTTACCAAACACTCACACCATGACATACATCTTACCAAACACTCACACCATGACATACATCTTACCAAACACTGTGACTGTCGCCTCCGACTTCTTTCCTCCGACTGTGAAGGTATACGTCCCTGAGTCGGCCACTCCTGCCCCAGTCATAGTTAGCCCGTATGTATCACCGTTTTCGGAAAACTTGACATTGTCCCCCTCCGTGAGAGCTACCCCGTTCTTCTGCCAGGTCCAGCCCGTGTGTCCGGCTGTGGTCAACTGTGCTGACAACGCTACAGTTTCCCCAGCAGGGATGCGGACATCTTGCAAGCCTTGCCTGAAAACAACTGAAAATACACGAATATCAGAGAGGGAGTCGCACAGAACCTGGACATTCTGACAGCCACAGGTAACACATCTTACCTGTACATTCTGACAGCCACAGGTAACACATCTTACCTGGACATTCTGACAACCATAGGTAACATATCTTACCTGGACATCTGACAGCCACAGGTAACACGTCTTACATATACATTCTGACAGCCACATACCTGTACACTCTGACAAGCTACGGGTGATACATCGTACCTGGACATTCTGCAGCTGACAACCACAGGTAACACGTCTTGCCTGGATATTCTGACAGCCACAGGTAACACGTCTTACCTGGACATTCCGACAGCCAGGGGTAACATATCTTACCTGGACATTCTGACAGCCACAGGTAACACGTCTTACATATACATTCTGACAGCCACATACCTGTATATTCTGACAAGCCACGGGTGACACATCTTACCTGGACATTCTGCAGCTGACAACCACAGGTAACACGTCTTGCCTGGACATTCTCACAGCCAGGGGTAACACGTCTTACATGGACATTCCGACAGCCAGGGCAGATGGCATCCGACCTTGATAATTTGATAGCATAAGACATCTCACCTGGACATTCTGGAAGCGGACAGGTGATGCTGTTTGTCTGGGTTCGTCCCCCTTCACAAGGACTGCCTGTACCGGCTGGGGCAGGGTTGGTACATGTCCGCGACCTCGTGTCTGTCCCGCTGACCGCTAGACCACAGGTGGCGTCACACACTCTCGTCCATGTCGTCCACACGCTCCATCCCCCGTTGACTGCAACACACCAAGTGGGATGCTCCAGGTCTCATGGAAGATGGATGCAGACGTGTCAGATCTCATGGAGGCAGATAAAAGCACACACGTGCACACAAACACTCAGCGACACACGCGCATACACGCACACACAGCAGAGACACATACAATCTCAGACACACACCAAACTCCCAGACAGTGGCAACGGGATCACCACAGTAATTCCTACAGACATTGATGATATGAAAAGACAGTTTTCCAAACCTGGGCATATTATATCTGGGCAGGTAACAGTTTGTGTGTCACTTGCAGCTCCGGCACATGGACTGCCGGTGCCACTGGGAGCAGGGTTGGTACATGTCCGTGTCCTCGTGTCCGTCCCACTCACAGACCGACCGCACGTGGCACTACAGGCCCTCGTCGCCGCCGACCATACACTCCAGCCTCCGTTAACTGTGGCAGAGTCGACATATAAGAATTGAAGAGCACAAAACACAAGCGTCAGATATTTACAATCGCTATTGTCCTTCAATTCAGGGCCCCGTTCCTGAAAGCGATCGTAGCGCTAAGGTGATCGTAACTCCCATACTTTAACATAGACTTATGACAGTCGTAGCGCTACGAGCGCTTTGAGGAAAGGGACCCTGATCGATGTCAGACTACAGGCAAAGATAAAGAGAAATGTACGTGTAATATTGCTCCAAACTGCCCACATTTAAAATAAACAAACACTTCTTGCCACCCACTTATTGGAGAAAATAACAACCCAAACACGACGTGTTGCCACTCAAATGGAGTAAACATGTCGATTGGGATCTACTCAGATACACAGTCAACATAAATGTCACCTACTGTTGGGATCTACTGAGATACACAGTCTACCTAAATGTCACCTACTGTTGGGATCTACTGAGATACACAGTCTCCCTAAATGTCACCTACTATTGGGATCTACTGAGATACACAGTCACCCTAAATGTCACCTACTATTGGGATCTACTGAGATACACAGTCACCCTAAATGTCACCTACTATTGGGATCTACTGAGATACACAGTCACCCTAAATGTCACCTACTATTGGGATCTACTGAGATACACAGTCACCCTAAATGTCACCTACTATTGGGATCTACTGAGATACACAGTCACCCTAAATGTCACCTACTATTGGGATCTACTGAGATACACAGTCACCCTAAATGTCACCTACTATTGGGATCTACTGAGATACACAGTCACCCTAAATGTCACCTACTGTTGGGATCTACTGAGATACACAGTCACCCTAAATGTCACCTACTATTGGGACCTACTGACGACACAGTCACCCTAAATGTCACCTGCTATTGGGATCTACTGAGATACAAGTCACCCTAAATGTCACCTACTATTGGGAACACAGGAGATACACAGTCACCCTAAATGTCACCTACTATTGGGATCTACTGAGATACACAGTCACCCTAAATGTCACCTACTATTGGGACCTACTGAGATACACAGTCACCCTAAATGTCATCTGCTATTGGGACCTACTGAGATACACAGTCACCCTAAATGTCACCTACTGTTGGGATCTACTGAGATACACAGTCATGGTAAATGTCACCTACTATTGGGAACACTGAGATCACAGTCACATGGTAATGTCACCTACTATTGGGAACTACTGAGATACACAGTCATGTCACATAAATGTCACCTACTATTGGGAACACTGAGGACACAGTCACATGGTAATGTCACCTACTATTGGGATCTACTGAGATGGCACAGTCACCCTAAATGTCACCTACTATTGGGAACTACTGAGACGGCACAGTCACATGGTAATGTCACCTACTATTGGGACACATGATGTCACCTACTATTGGGATACACGGCAGTCATGGTAATGTCACCTACTATTGGGAACACTGACGGCACAGTCACATGGTAATGTCACCTACTATTGATCTACTGACGGATACACAGTCTCACCTACACAGGATGGCATGTCACATGGTAATGTCACCTACTATTGGGAACACAGGACGACAAGTCACATGGTAATGTCACCTACTATTGAAAACACGACGGCATGTCACATGGTAATGTCACCTACTATTGGGAACACAGGATGTCACATTACGTGGTGATGTCACCTACTATTGGGAACACATGACGACATGTCACATGGTAATGTCACCTACTATTGGGAACACAGGATGGCATGTCACATGGTAATGTCACCTACTATTGGGAACACAGGACGGCATGTCACATGGTAATGTCACCTACTATTGGGAACACAGGATGGCATGTCACATGGTAATGTCACCTACTATTGGGAACACACGACGGCATGTCACATGGTAATGTCACCTACTATTGGGAACACACGACGGCATGTCACATGGTAATGTCACCTACTATTGGGAACACAGGACGGCATGTCACATGGTAATGTCACCTACTATTGGGAACACAGGACGGCATGTCACATGGTAATGTCACCTACTATTGGGAACACACGACGGCATGTCACATGGTAATGTCACCTACTATTGGGAACACACGACGGCATGTCACATGGTAATGTCACCTACTATTGGGAACACAGGACGGCACGTCACATGGTAATGTCGTCTCCTCAGTGGCATCACCAGCACAGTCGTTCCCGCCACGTGCAGGTGTGGGGTTGTCACAGGTTCTATTCCTCTTCCTCGGCACGGTGATGTTGTCCCCACAGGTAGCAGTACACGACCCCACCCACTCCGTCCAGGCACCCCAGCCGCCGTCCACTGAACACACCAATATTACAGAGGTTACAATACTGGAGCTACTGGAGTTTTTGTTTATTGTTTAACGATGAACGCTGCAATCCAGTGACTGGCATCATCTGTATCGATCTATCGATTAAGATACGTGGACATGCTTCAAGTCAGAGAGCCTGCTGAACCGATCCCATTACCCGCCTCTTACGACAAGTGGATGTTCACAGTGGTATGGCTATAGAATGCAAGAGCAACGTCGCCATAGCTATACTCCTTCAGCCGGGTAACACTGAGTGAGTGAGTGAGTGAGAGAGTTTAGTTTTACGCTTTTAGCAATATTCCAGCAACATCACGGAGGGGGACACCAGAAATGGGCTTCACGCATTGTACCCATATGGGGAATCGAACCCGGGTCTTCGGCGTGACGAGCGAACGCTTTAACCACTAGGCTACCCCACCACGCCCCGCGTGACACACAAGGTGTGTGACATGACGTCACGTTGCGTCTCACCAATGACTGTGACGTAGCCCACCGCCGTATGCCCTTCAATGCTGAACGTATAGGCTCCGTTGTCGGCGCCGGTAACTTGAGTCTAGAGTCATGGTGTTGTTGCCCTTGTCGTGGTAGATCTTCACTCTCGTGCTGGGGTGAAGAGCGGTGCCCTTCTGGAGCCATTCCGCCTTGGAGTGGACGCTCTCGTCCACGTCAGCGGTCAGGGTTAATTTCTCCCCAGACCGAAGCGTTACATTCTTGAGCCCAACCAGAACTGTGGAAACCAAAACATTTGTTTCTCTCATTTCTCACAAGTTTGCATGTCGACATCGATATTTCATCACATCTGTAGTAAGAAACGTCTTAATATTACGTTATTGCCAATGCGTCCCGACATTGGTGTTACACAACAAATTGTTCGCTGGACATCCTGAAATATACTGTATATAACAACAACCCCATAGTTCTACTGCACTATTGTTTGAAATAGTCTACTCACTTAAACACTTGGGCAGCGTGGAGCAGATGGTGGCGTTGGTCTGTACCCGCTCCCCAACACACTGAGCCCCGCCGTTCCGGGGTTTGGGATGGTCGCAGTACCGGACACGTCGCAATTCACCGGCAACGTTGTCACCACAAGTAGCCGAACACGTCGTGGTGCGCCAATTCGTCCAATCATCCCAGCCTCCGTCAACAGGTCCTGAATTCAATGACTGGTATAAGACACCGTGCTAAAAGCAGGGTCTACAGTAGACTGCCACTCACCACATTAATCCCCTACCGTCTACAGTAGACTGACACTCAGAACATGGAACCCATACCGTCTACAGTAGACTGCCACTCACCACATTAATCCCCTACCGTCTACAGTAAACTGACACTCAGTACAAGAGTGCCTTCTTTAATTTCCATGATACTAAATCTCTACACCACATACCAATACCTGGTGCTTCATGTCCGTCTATCATACAGCTGTTAATGAAAGTCTCTGTATTTGATATTATCTGCATAACGCAAGTGCTGTCTAATATATATCTGCAGTTCACATACAGACTATTGCCAAGGTTGGATACTGTCGGTACCTACCAGTTTCACAGGGTCCCAGGTTGCACACCGCGGTGAGGTTTTCGGATGCGCTTCCTGCACAGTCAATGCCGCCATTAGCTGGTGCTGGGTTATCACAGGTCCGGTTTCTTTCCCGTGTCCCTTGGAGGTTGTTCCCACAGGTGGCGCTACACGCTCTCCTCCAGCTCGTCCAGACGCTCCAGCCTCCATCAGCTGTGGTTGTATTCAGTGATTGTATTGCATACATATATCAAGTTGTATACAGAGATAGTATTGCATATAGGGTGAGTGTCGGGGTTGTGCTACATACAGTACAGGGCTGGTGTAGTAGACAGAGGTAGTGTTGTATATAGGGTCAGTGTCGGGGTTGTGCTACATACAGTACAGGGCTGGTGTAGTAGACAAAGGTTGTGTTGTATATAGGGTGAGTGTCGGGGTTGTGCTACATACAGTACAGGGCTGGTGTAGTATACAGAGGTAGTATTGTATATAGGGTCAGTGTGAGTGTATACAGAGGGGGGTTGTATATACATACAGTACAGGGCTGGTATTGTATATACAGTACAGGGCTGGTGTAGTATACAGAGGTAGTGTTGTATATAGGGTCAGTGTCGGGGTTGTGCTACATACAGTACAGGGCTGGTGTAGTATACAGAGATAGTATTGTATATAGGGTCAGTGTCGGTATACAGAGGTAGTATTGTATATAGGGTCAGTGTCGTCATACAGAGGTAGTATTGTATATAGGGTCAGGGTCAGGGTTGTGCTGCATACAGTACAGGGCTGGTGTAGTATAAAGAGATAGTATTGTATATAGGGTCGGTGTCGGTATACAGAGGTAGTATTGTATGTAGGGTCAGTGTCGGTATACAGAGGTAGTACTGTATATAGGGTCAGTGTCGGTATACAGAGGTAGTATTGTATATAGGGTGAGTCTCGGGGTTGTACTACATACAGTACAGGGCTGGTGTAGTATACAGAGATAGTATTGTATATAGGGTCAGTGTCGGTATACAGAGGTAGTATTGTATATAGGGTGAGTGTCAGGGTTGTGTTACATACAGTACAGGGCTGGTGTAGTATACAGAGATAGTATTGTATATAGGGTCAGTGTCGGTATACAGAGGTAGTATTGTATATAGGGTCAGTGTCGGTATACAGAGATAGTATTGTACATAGGGTCAGTGTCGGTATACAGAGATAGTATTGTATATAGGGCCAGTGTCGGTATACAGAGGTAGTATTGTATATAGGGTCAGTGCCGGGGTTGTGCTACATACAGTACAGGGCTGGTGTAGTAGACAGAGATAGTATTGTATATAGGGTGAGTGTCGGGGTTGTGCTGCATACAGTACAGGGCTGGTGTAGTAGACAGAGGTAGTATTGTATATAGGGTCAGTGCCGGGGTTGTACTACATACAGTACAGGGCTGGTGTAGTATACAGAGATAGTATTGTATATAGGGTCAGTGTCGGTATACAGAGGTAGTATTGTATATAGGGTCAGTGTCGGTATACAGAGATAGTATTGTATATAGGGTCAGTGTCGGGGTTGTGCTACATACAGTACAGGGCTGGTGTAGTAGACAGAGTGTAGTATACAGAGGTAGTACACAGCACAGCTGGTATAGAGTCAGTGCCATAAATGGTAGGTTGTGCTACATACAGTACAGGGTTGTGCTACACATACGGTACAGTGTTGTATACAGAGATAGTATTGTATATAGGGTCAGTGTCGGGGTTGTGCTACATACAGTACAGGGCTGGTGTAGTATACAGAGGTAGTATTGTATATAGGGTCAGTGCCGGGGTTGTACTACATACAGTACAGGGCTGGTGTAGTATACAGAGGTAGTATTGTATATAGAATACAGGAGTGTCAGGGGTTGTTCTACATACAGTACAGGGCTGGTGTAGTATACAAAGGTTGTGTTGTATATAGGGTGAGTGTCGGGGTTGTTCTACATACAGTACAGGGCTGGTGTAGTATACAGAGATAGTATTGTATATAGGGTCAGTGTCGGGGTTGTTCTACATACAGTACAGGGCTGGTGTAGTATACAGAGGTAGTATTGTATATAGGGTGAGTGTCAGGGTTGTGCTACATACAGTACAGGGCTGGTGTAGTATACAGAGATAGTATTGTATATAGGGTCAGTGTCGGGGTTGTTCTACATACAGTACAGGGCTGGTGTAGTATACAGAGGTAGTATTGTATATAGGGTGAGTGTCAGGGTTGTTCTACATACAGTACAGGGCTGGTGTAGTATACAGAGGTAGTATTGTATATAGGGTGAGTGTCAGGGTTGTTCTACAGGGCTGGGTACAGTACAGGGCTGGTGTAGTAGACAGAGATAGTATTGTATATAGGGTCAGTGTCGGGGTTGTTCTACATACAGTACAGGGCTGGTGTAGTAGACAGAGGTAGTATTGTATATAGGGTCAGTGTCGGGGTTGTGCTACATACAGTACAGGGCTGGTGTAGTAGACAGAGATAGTATTGTATATAGGGTCAGTGTCGGGGTTGTTCTACATACAGTACAGGGCTGGTGTAGTAGACAGAGGTAGTATTGTATATAGGGTCAGTGTCGGGGTTGTGCTACATACAGTACAGGGCTGGTGTAGTATACAGAGGTAGTATTGTATATAGGGTGAGTGTCGTGGTTGTGCTACATACAGTACAGGGCTGGTGTAGTATACAGAGGTAGTATTGTATATAGGGTCAGTGTCGGGGTTGTTCTACATACAGTACAGGGCTGGTGTAGTATACAGAGGTAGTATTGTATATAGGGTGAGTGTAGTATACAGAGGTAGTATTGTATATAGGGTGAGTGTCAGGGTTGTGCTACATACAGTACAGGGCTGGTGTAGTATACAAAGGTAGTATTGTATATAGGGTGAGTGTCGGGGTTGTTCTACATACAGTACAGGGCTGGTGTAGTATACAGAGGTAGTATTGTATATAGGGTCAGTGTCGGGGTTGTTCTACATACAGTACAGGGCTGGTGTAGTATACAGAGGTTGTGTTGTATATAGGCTGGTGTAGTATACAGAGGTTGTATTGTATATAGGGTGAGTGTCGGTATACAAAGGTTGTGTACTATGCAACTGTTGCGCCAACACAACACACATTCTAGAACATCTTGTCACGCACGTCACATTGCCCCCAAAACGGACACCAATGAGTGTTGCTGGGCGATATGTCTTACCTACAACAACCAGATGCCCCTCTGCGGTCTGCCCCTCTATACTAAATGTGTATGTGCCAGTGTCACCAACTGTGAGCTCGTGGAGGGTCAAAGTGTGGTTGGCGTTGTCTTTGGCGATGCCCACCCTGCTGCTGTTATGGAGAAGGTGGCCGTGGCGGTACCACTCTGCTGCTCCCGTCGCTGACGCTTTGGTGACGGCGTTCATTGTCATCACTTGGCCGGCTCGCAGCGTAAGGTTCTGAAGCCCGCTGAGAACTGGAAAGAAAATACAGATACTTGGAATGTTTGGGGCAGGTTTTGTGTAACACCGCTGACACGGCCTGGTGTAACAGTCACCGTCACAGTCACTGCACAGACACAAGCTTTAAGTGTTGTTCATGTACTAAGTACGCGATACATGTTGTACAGACACAAGTGTGGCTGCTGATACGTACTGATACACTGGGTACGTCAAACACGTTGTACAGACACAACAGTGGCTGTTGATACGTACTGATACACTGGGTACGTCAAACACGTTGTACAGACACAACAGTGGCTCTTGATACGTACTGATACACTGGGTACGTCAAACACGTTGTACAGACACAACAGTGGCTGTTGATACGTACTGATACACTCTGGAAGGTCACAAATGGTAGTGTTTCTGTCTATTCTCTCCCCTTCACAGTTTTTCCCGCCATTTCTTGGCGTTGGTTTGTCGCAGTAACGGACACGTCTCGACACGCCGGCCACGTTCACGCCGCACGTGGCTGAACAGCTGACGACATGCCAGGTAGTCCATGCGTCCCAGCCGCCGTCGACTGAAACAAACAAACATAATGGATGCATTACTAAACTGCAGGAGAAATATGACACAATGATGGTTGGTGCTGACAATCGGGTGTATCGAGAGGAACAGGACTGTGTACCTGGCACCATGTTGCAATACTCCGGAGTTCCAGAGCCTGCGACGTCTGTGCCACCAGTCCCCACGTTTCAGTAGTCCCGCGTCAGACATGAATTAGAGGTGGCCGTAAAATCTCCATGAGGACCCTACCTCCACATCGGGACTCACCTACTACTGTCACTGTGCCTTTTGTGGATTTCCCTCCAATAGTGAAAGTGTATTCCCCGTCGTCTGCGAAGGTCGCCCCGGTCACATTCAGGGTATATTTCCCGGAACCATCCTGACCAAACTTCATCCTGTCGCTCTCCGCGAGAACCTTGCCTCCCATCGACCACTCTCCGGCCGATGTGGTCGTCCCGCTGACACCGGCGGTCAGAGTGAAGTCGCTTCCACTCTGGACAGTGACGTTGTTCAGCTGCGTGGTGAAGCTCACTGTAAAGACATATCGTATTGACGTAGTCAAAACTTAAAATTGTTTCTGTTTGTCGGATGTGGGATGTCATGAACTAATATCTTGTGTCCGGTATGCAGTTTCGGCGCTGGTATACATGTATGCGTCTGATGTCTGATGTCTGGTGTCTGGTGTCTGGTGTCTGATGTCTGGTGTCTGGTGTCTGGTGTCTGATGTCTGGTTCTGGTGTCTGGTGTCTGGTGTCTGGTGTCTGGTGTCTGGAGTCTGATGTCTGGTGTCTGGTGTCTGATGTCTGATGTCTGGTTCTGGTGTCTGGTGTCTGATGTCTGGTGTCTGGTGTCTGGTGTCTGGTGTCTGATGTCTGGTGTCTGGTGTCTGGTGTCTGGTGTCTGATGTCTGGTGTCTGGTGTCTGGTGTCTGGTGTCTGATGTCTGATGTCTGGTGTCTGGTGTCTGGTGTCTGGTGTCTGGTGTCTGGTGTCTGGTGTCTGATGTCTGATGTCTGATGTCTGGTGTCTGGTGTCTGGTGTCTGATGTCTGATGTCTGGTGTCTGATGTCTGATGTCTGGTGTCTGGTGTCTGATGTCTGATGTCTGGTGTCTGGTGTCTGGTGTCTGGTGTCTGGTGTCTGATGTCTGCTAACTAATGTGTACCACAACAATCCACCCAACATTTGACTCGTGGCCCTCGCTGCCTCCATGTCCGCCCCAATCAGCACCACGTACAGTTGGCAATATACTGAAGATCTGGCAGCATACATCGATCGCCAGCACCGTATGGTTTGTACCAATGTGTATACAGGAGAACCATCACCGTATGGTTTGTACCAATGTGTATACAGGAGAACCATCACCGTATGGTTTGTACCAATGTGTATACAGGAGAACCATCACCGTATTGTTTGTACCAATGTGTATACAGGAGAACCATCACCGTATTGTTTTGTACCAACCATCACCGTATACAGGAGAACCATCACCGTATGGTTTGTACCAATGTGTATACAGGAGAACCATCACCGTATGGTTTGTACCAATGTGTATACAGGAGAACCATCACCGTATGGTTTGTACCAATGTGTATACAGGAGAACCATCACCGTATGGTTTGTACCAATGTGTATACAGGAGAACCATCACCTTTGTTAAATCAGTACCGTGAAGGAGATGCGTTGTATGAACAATGTTTGGTAAACAGTGAATTTCGTTAAGCATACAATATGTGTCGATTCCTGAATACAAGCGACAAAACACATCGTCATACATAATTTCTTGTACACGTAGAGTCGATGGTACAATTCTGACACAGAAGCATGTTGGTGAAAGGTGAGCGTATCCTGCCCCACCGTTACACCCGTCACAAACAATGTAGAGGGATGTTAAAGTTACACGTATACCAAACTTCCATATCTCTCAAAGTAGCACGTATTATACAGTAACACAAATCTCAATTTGACACTATCATAAAGATACATGCATCTCAAAGTGACACGTATCTGAACGAGGCACACATCTCAAACTCACACGTATCATAAAGTAACACGTTGTTGAAAATAACACTTGTCATAAAGTGATGCACATCACTTGCTGAGTCCCACGAAGTACAAAGTAGGGAGACGCCAGCAACAATGTATTGGTGACAATGTATCGGTGACAATGTATCGGTGACAATGTATCTGTAAGAATGTGTCGGTGACAATGTATCGGTAACAATGTGTCGATGACAATGTGTTGGTGACAGTAAGTCGGTGACAATGTGTCGGCAACAATGTATTGGTGACAGTGTGTCGGTGACAATGTGTCGGCAACAATGTATTGGTGACAATGTATCGGTAACAATGTGTTGGTGACACTGTATCGGTAACAATGTGTTGGTGACAATGTATCTGTCACAACGTGTAGGTGACAATGTATCGGTAACAATGTGTCGATGACAATGTGCTGGTGACAATGTGTTGGTGACAATGTGTCGGTAACAATGTGTCGATGACAATGTGTCGGTAACAATGTATCATTGACAGTGTGTCGGTAGTTACCACAAGTGGAAGTGTCACACTGAACGGTTCTCTGCTCCTCAGAGTCCCCGGCACAAGTGCTTCCGTTATTGACCGGAGCTGGGTTGGTGCAGGTCCTGGTCCGCGTGTCCGTGCCGGTGGCCGAACTGCAGTCGGCCGAGCAGCCCTGCGTCCACACCGCCCACCCACTCCATCCACCATCAACTGAAAATTGGATCGAAATGTAAAAATATGGTTTTAGGCGGCTTTTAGCCTTACTATCATGGCAGGGACACCAGACATGGGATTCACACATCGTACCGATGTGGTGAATCGAACCAGGCCCCGATTTCTCGAAACAAACTTAAGTCTGAGTTTTGACTTAAGTCAGCGTTTTTACTCAAATTTGAGAAAACGCAAAAAATGCATTTTCCAGAATAAACTGAAATCAATATTAAACTCAAACTTAGTAGACAATTTGAGTTTGGTGGATAGATTACTTAAGTTGTTTGGGCTTTCTTATTTAAAAAATGCAGTTGAGTTAAAAATTCAGCTATTTCAAATGGTCAAACTCAGTTTGAAATTTGAGAAAAACTTAAGTTTGTTTCGAGAAATCGGGTCCCGGGCACGGCGTGACGGGCAAACGCTTAACTACTGGCAACCGGGAGCACACTCTGGTTGATGAGGAGCAAGTTAGTTCGACCGACAACCTCCAATATGTGATTGCAGATACATAACTCACCATACACAGTCACTGTCCCCTCCGTGGTTTCCGGCGACAACGAAGGAGTATTTCCCGGAGTCGGCCTGTGTCGCTCCAATGACTCCCATTCTGTAGGCACTATCGCCACTGCTGAACTGGATCCGGTTATTCTCGGTAATGGCCACCCCGTCCTTCATCCAGCGCAACCCCGAGTACCCAGATCCCAACAGAAGGACAGACTGGGTGAAGTTATCCCCCCTGGCGAACTCGGATATCCTTCAGACCGTCCAGAATCTCAGCTGTAATGTCAGAAGTAGAAATGAAATAGTTCTACATGGACAAGCTATTGATGATGTGGGTGTGTTTGGTGTTGGGTGTGCTGGATGATGGTGAGAGGGGGGGTGAGATCAATATCTTACTGGAGTCATTTCGATAGTGATCTTCACCTGACGATGTTTGATCAAGAAGTTAAGTGCACAATGGGAACACCCTGTTCCTTCTCACCTGTCACTGTCACATAGCCCTTTGTAGATTTGCCTCCAATGGAGAATGTATATTCCCCTTCGTCTGCAGTCTCAGCTGCGATCACATTCAGAGAATATTTCCCAGAACCATCTTGCACGAACTTCATCCTGCTACTCTCTGTGAGCACAGTACCCCCCTTCGACCACTGCCAATCGGTCTTGTCTGTCTCGCTGACCGTTGCGGCCAACGTGAAGTCGTTTCCGCCGCGAACCGTCACGTTGTTCAACTCTGTGGTGAAGCCGACTGCAAGGACAAGGTCAAGTCAAGTCTTTTATTTCTTATGAAGGGCTTGGGCCCATATATAAATATGCAAATAGTTATTACAATGATGAATGTTGCATAGGTACACTATAAACACACTTAATGTAACATAAGTGGCATGATGACGTACAGATATATTATCCATTAACCAGCCACTGTCGTAGCTCAAAGCAAGGACAAGGTCAAGGTCAAAGCTCGAGTCTGACTCAATGCTATAATATCCAGGCCTCCATGGAATGGTCACAAATATTTTAGCTAAGAAGGCGTGTTTGGCGATGTTCGGCGTGACTGGAGCTCTGACAGCTGTTGGCTAATATGTGACAACAGCTATGTAGTAGTTGTGTTAACGGCTGTCTGTTGTCGATAGTGTATGCAATGTCGTCGGTATGTCAGGCATCTAACGTCTGATGCTGTTTGTGTATATTATCTTTTATATCGGATACTCTCTGTGGATATAGCGTCTAATGTCTGATGCTTTCTCTGGATATAGCGTCTAATGTTTAATGCTTTCTGTGTATATAATCTTTTACATCTGAATTTATCTGTGGGTATAGCATCTATTGTCTGATTCTCTCTGTGGATATAGCATCTAATGTCTGATTCTCTCTGTGGATATAGCGTCTAATGTCTGATGCTTTCTGTGTATATTATCTTTTACATCTGATTTATCTCTGTGCATATAGCTTCTAATGTCTGATTCTCTCTCTGGATATAGAATATAATGTCTGATGCTTTATCTGGATATAGCGTCTAATGTCTGATGCTGCCTGTGTGTATAGCGTCTAATGTCTGATTCTCTCTCTGGATATAGAATATAATGTCTGATGCTTTATCTGGATATAGCGTCTAATGTCTGATGCTGCCTGTGTGTATAGCGTCTAATGTCTGATTCTCTCTCTGGATATAGAATATAATGTCTGATGCTTTATCTGGATATAGCGTCTAATGTCTGATGCTGCCTGTGTGTATAGCGTCTAATGTCTGATGCTGCCTGTGTGTATAGCGTCTAATGTCTGATTCTCTCTCTGGGTATAGAATATAATGTCTGATGCTTTATCTGGATATAGCGTCTAATGTCTGATGCTTTCTGTGTATATTATCTTTTACATCTGATTCTCTCTGTGGGTATAGCATCTGATGTCTGATTCTCTCTGTGGGTATAGCGTCTAATGTCGGATGCTGCCTGTGGGTATAGCGTCTAATGTCTGATGCTGTTTGTGGGCATAGCCTCTAATGTCTGATGTTATCTGTGGGTATAGCGTTTAATGTCTGATTCTCTCTGTGGGTATAGCGTCTAATGTCTGATGCTGTTTGTGGATATTATTTTTTACATCTGATTCTTTCTCTTCTCTGGATATAGCATCTAATGTCTGATGGTGTCTGTGTGTATAGCGTCTAATGTCTGATGCTGTCTCTGAATATAGCTTCTAATGGCTGATTCTCTCTGTGTGTATAGCTTCTAATGTCTGATTCTGTCTGTGGATGTAGTGTCTAATGTCTGACGCTGTTTGTGGATATTATTTTTTACATCTGATTCTTTCTCTGGATATAGCGTCTAATGGCTGATGCTGTTGTTGGATATAGCATTTAATGTTTCATGCTGTTGTTGGATATAGCGTTTAATGTTTCATACTGTTGTTGGATATAGCGTTTAATGTTTCATGCTGTTGTTGGATATAGCGTTTAATGTTTCATACTGTTGTTGGATATAGCGTTTAATGTTTCATGCTGTTGTTGGATATAGCGTTTAATGTTTCATGCTGTTGTTGGATATAGCGTTTAATGTTTCATGCTGTTGTTGGATATAGCGTTTAATGTTTCATACTGTTGTTGGATATAGCGTTTAATGTTTCATACTGTTGTTGGATATAGCGTTTAATGTTTCATACTGTTGTTGGATATAGCGTTTAATGTTTCATACTGTTGTTGGATATTCTGCCTGACGTCTGATGTTGTTTGTGGATAGTCTGTCATGACTTGGTTGTCAATACTGTTAGTGTTGTTTTATGACAGAAATAACAGATATAGCACACAGATTACATTCTTTTACACTATTTATATTGTATTTGTACCATTTGTTTGCATTCATTCACTTTTATGTCTGATAAAAATCTTGAAACTAATGTAGAACATTACAACCTTACCATCGCAGGCAGCGACTGATGTACACGCCCCAGTTTCGGTCTCACTGCTGTTCCCTACACATTCCGCCTTTTCGCATGTGCGTGTGCGCTCTCTGTCTCCGATGATATTCACGCCGCAGGTTGCCCGACATCTGAGCTGACTCCATTCTGACCATTCGCTCCAACGTTCTGTGCCGATAATCAATTACTTGCAGTCAAAACTGAAAACACCTAATCCGGACTAATATGTTGACCTGGGCCGAGATTTTCGAAGCTCTCTTAGCGCTAAGATATTCGTAAGTGTCATACATTAACATTAACTTACGACTATCTTAGCGCTAAGAGAGCTTCGAACTCTGGGCCCTGATTCCTGACAGAAGTGCTCATCCGGCGCAACTGAGAAATCAGTTAAACACATGGTGGTCACTACCATCGTGTTCCAGGTTTTCTCACGCCTGGTCACTTCTCGACACGATTATCAATAAGCAGTTGTAAAACATGTCACTACCTTTTAAAGACAGTTTTATCTTAAACACAAGCTATCGTCAGAGTATTTACAATGTCTGGTCGGATAAGCCATCCTCGTTATAGTGTGAGTAAACACTGTCGTACGAAAACTTACGATACGACGATATATTGTATTATATCAGCTGGTAGTGTCATTAACAGATCAATATCTACATGTCAGGGAGGTCTAACTTTCATTGTTTACAACTACACATGGGGCTGGTGGTCGCCGGTCACAAAAAGACATCGGGGCTTTGGGATCATTGTCATCAGAATCAACAGTCTTAGAGTATTGCCAGACATACAGAGCTGAACGACGGAGTTGCTGTGGCATAATGGCAGGTCCGCCAGTGATTGAGGCCGAGAAACAACAGCCAGTTACAACTGTGTGGACTGTTGTCACTGTCCGCGTGGTTACACTGCTGTACGTACCGCACGTCAGTGACTTAACACTGTGAACCCTGTAATGTCGTATGTCAGTGACTTAACACTGTGAACCCTGTAATGTCCTGTGTCAGTGACTTAACACTGTAAACCTTGTAATGTCGTATGTCAGTGACTTAACACTGTGAACCCTGTAATGTCGTATGTTAGTGACTTAACACTGTGAACCCTGTAATGTCGTATGTCAATGACTTAACACTGTGAACCCTGTAATGTCGTATGTTAGTGACTTAACACTGTTAACACTGTAATGTCGTATGTCAGTGACTTAACACTGTGAACCCTGTAATGTCGTATGTCAGTGACTTAACACTGTGAACCCTGTAATGTCCTATGTCAGTGACTTAACACTGTGAACCCTGTAATGTCGTATGTCAGTGACTTAACACTGTGAACCCTGTAATGTCGTATGTTAGTGACTTAACACTGTTAACCCTGTAATGTCGTATGTCAGTGACTTAACACTGTGAACCCTGTAATGTCGTATGTCAGTGACTTAACACTGTGAACCCTGTAATGTCGTATGTCAGTGACTTAACACTGTGAACCCTGTAATGTCCTATGTCAGTGACTTAACACTGTGAACCCTGTAATGTCGTATGTCAGTGACTTAACACTGTGAACCCTGTAATGTCGTATGTTAGTGACTTAACACTGTGAACCCTGTAATGTCGTATGTCAGTGACTTAACACTGTGAACCCTGTAATGTCGTATGTCAGTGACTTAACACTGTGAACACTGTAATGTCGTATGTTAGTGACTTAACACTGTGAACCCTGTAATGTCCTATGTCATTGACTTCACACTGTGAACCCTGTAATGTCCTATGTCATTGACTTCACACTGTGAACCCTGTAATGTCCTATGTCATTGACTTCACACTGTGAACCCTGTAATGTCCTATGTCATTGACTTCACACTGTGAACCCTGTAATGTCGCTAAGTGTTAAAGAAACTCACTGAGAACTGTCACGAAACCGTGGGCTGTCTGCCCCCCAACTGTGAAGGTGTAGTCCCCGGCGTCGGACAACAATGCTCCCTGTACGAAGAAGGAAATGAACGATCCATTCTTGAAGATGCTGTATCGTCCCCCTTCGGTGAGATGCTCCCCATCCCGGCTCCAGTTGCCTCCCACAATGGCCATGTGACTCATCTCGGCCGTCAGGTTAAAGCTCTCCCCCTCGTACACCGTCAGGTTCTGGAGACCCGTCAGCACTTCAGCTGAAGGAACAGGTGGACATTTAGCAGTCATGTGTAACAGTGTGTGAGACAGTTGTGGGTCTGTGTGTGTGAGAGAGAGTTGTGGGTCTGTGTGTGTAAGAGAGAGTTGTGGGTC